ATAAAAATAAAAAAAATAAAAATTTCGTCAACACAAAGTTCCTGAACGTTTTCAAGACATAGGAGTCTTAGCCATTAACAACACTTCTAAAACAAAAGCTGTTTTTTAATAAAATTAACATTTCCTTTGCTATGAAACTATAGACACTAAGAAGAGTCGAATTTCCCGCATAAAACGGTGAACAATTTCAAAAGAAGATGTATAAAATGCAATTCAGGTTGGAACCTCCCAAAAAATTTGAAAATCAATCGAATAATGAAAGAGTACTTTGAATACTACCCATCTGTAATCCAAGAAGCCACTCAGTGTAGATCCATGCGCTCTGATCCTCTGGATCCACAAAAAATGCATTAGAAGCCAACTAAACTTCGTTTCAAAACTAACTCCAATTAATGTTATTCAAGGGAAAAAGAAAAAAAAAGTAAAATAACGAAGAAGCAGAAGAAATAATTATTGCCGGTGAAAAGGTAACAGGAAGCGTTGTACAAATATTTTACTTCCAATTCGTTTGCCAAATACTCGTCTGCAACTCTTCCTTGTAAGTCCGGATTAGGAAAAAGTTTGGGCAATAAATATGATCTATAATGCCAGGCCGAATAATTACTAAAGTTGTTGTTTATGAGCCGCGTAGTAAACCTGAAATACTGATTTTTCAAAAAATACTGCTATGAAAAAACCATAATGCAACCGTAATGAAGTCCAAATGCAAAATCGTTTGCGAGAACACGGATGCACAAGAAATAAGCAGAAGAAGATAAAAGACTTACTCAAACTCATCTTTAGGCTCCACAGAGCTCAAAGAGACAACAAAGCGTCGATGATCCCAACCATGAAAATTCCTTTCATCTAATTCCAAAAACCGTTCGCACATTTTTAGCTCTTTTTCCAGATCCGGAGCTGTCATGTTTTTCAAAACAAAACCTCGGTGAAACCAGGCACCATAAGATTTGCAGTTCTTCTGCAAGGCAAAAAAATACCTTATTCATCTCAAACTTTAAAGCACTGCCAGTTACAGAAACTGACAAGGTCAAATAAGGCAGAACAAAGATGATGAGAAGGAAAAACCTGCAAACAATTTTCGGTCAAGATCAGTTCGTCAAGATATAAGTCGTTAACATCTTTATAAACAGCCTTCTTTTCGCTGTTGCCTTCCTGTAAAAATGGTCAGTATCTCGCTGATATTGCAAAAAGTCCTGTAACTTTTCTACTCCTCTCGTCATTATAGCCTTCCCACCAGAACAACAATTCAAGAATTTTAAAACCACACCGCGTCTGTATATAACAAAGACTTAAAATAATACAAACTCTTTTAGTCAGCGCCTTCAGTACTTCACGTCTAACGTTCCAAAATGTAGTAATTTCAGGAATACGACACAAAAGGTTGCTAGTGTAGCCCAACAGTTCGGCATCTAGCTGACCTAAACTCCACAAGTTGTTACAATAATAACCATGAGAATCAAAAGTAGTGCAGACCAGAGTACTTTAATTGAAAACTCTTGTTTGAAAAACACTACCATCAAAAAATACACCTCTTCTTCCTTCAGCTGCGTCGTTTAACAGCGAAATCAGATACTCTTCAACGAATAACAGAAATACCTTCAGAACGACTCTTAAATATCGCGTTTCTGGTGGTCACATAAACCCTTAGCTTTGCGGCCTGTCTTTTTTTTTCGGCTTCCTTCTGTTCCTGAGTCGTCGGGGTCTTTTTAACAAAATGCATCTTCTGCCCAGCTGGTTGCTGATTGTCTTAACCTGAAAATACACCAAATCACCAAGAAGACACAGATTCAAGACTGGATATACTACAAAGTAAACGCTTCCATTACACCTATATCTGAGTTTTAATCACGGTTTCATTAGCAGGAAGCCAACTATTACATAAGAATGAAAATTGCTACAGCTTCTAATATGATATCTGTCTACCGCACATGCACAGACGGACAGAGTTTAAGGATACACTGTTGTCGAAATCATTTGCATCTGTTTGCTCCTGATCTGATTTCAGCTGAACTCTTCCTTCATTGGCAATGTTCCCATCCCATGCTAAATGGCACGCTCTTCTCAGTTACCCGCTTTGATTTCCTTTCATCATTTGACGCCTAAAGTCAGGCTGTCCTACAGCGCAAAAAAGAGTGCACCTCTTTGCCAAATGCAATAGTCTTTAAGGACTTGTAATTTTCTTCATTTATAACAGATTTTTTAAACTTTTACTTAGTTGAAAAGTCTTTTTCATGCAGACTCGGGGAAATGGTAAGATGTTCACGCAAGTGTATTTATGAAGGATTACAGAAAAAATAGAGGTGTAAAACGTTGCATCTGGGGGTGAATCATTTTAAATGTTCTAAAAGATGTTTTTGAGGACATAGCTCTTTGATGACATATTAAAACTACGGATGGTATTTTCATGATATCAAAAGTTACTTGTCATTGATTAGGTAAGGTGCAAAAAATTTCCATTTGACAAAGCATTTCAGTGTCTCTGTAAGTCGAAAAATGGAAACCAAAAAATTTTTGTCGCTCAGTAATTTAGAGAAATTTTTTCTTAGAATTCACTTTAATGTTTACTTTTTCCATTTGTACCGTTCCTTTACCTCACCAAGCTCTTTTTACCCAAGCGTTTGACACTCAGTGCCGACTGCGAATAGTACGCTACTGTGATTTTTCCGGAAGTACGTAGTACAAAGTAATAAATTCATATTGTATCCGCGACACGAGGGAATGCAAAAAACAGTAGTTTTTGAGAAGCCTCTTCCTTTCTATTTTTTGTTGTGGAGGAGAACGTTTATCCCACTCATGTCGCTGACCGCCAGGTTGACGGCGTCCTTGGTAGTTAAGATTTGGTTCTTCTTACTTTTGGGTTGTGCTAGAAGTCTATTGAAAAGCGAATTAGACTGAAAGTGTCTCTTTCCTGCCGGCAATCGCTGTTAGTCTTTTCAACACGACTCCTAGTCTCAGATTATTGCACGGCTGCGAAAGTGACAGGAAACCAATACTCGTAATTAAAAAACATTACTCAGTGTGATATATTCGGGTTAGAAGGTTTCAATAAGCAAGCAAAGCCATACAAGTTATAATAGTAATTTTTTCTAAAAAAAACTTTGTAAAATTGTTTAAAAGCAAATAAATTTTAACTAATTGCCTGTTATTGAAATGGTTGAGTCGAAGAATTCTTCAAGAATCATACATATTATTACAATTAATAAAATTTTATTTGAAACCGAGGCTCTGTCACTTGCAAAAGCGCCAAAATGCTGCTTCAGTTAAGGGTTTTTCCGGTCTACTGCCACTGTTCGGACTGTAATTTTTGACGCCGAAAAGATACCACCTTGCAATTTTCATATTTTGTGTACAAATTATTTCTTTGAAAAATATTTTCTTCTTTTAAAAGTTTAAATTTTCTGTCTTGGAGGAAAACTCTTTTGAATTTTTTTTTCATTTCAATCTGAAATAAAATTTGCTATTATAAAAAGCGTTTTACCACATTTCTGAATCTGCATGAGACAAAGTTTCAAAAGAAGTAAAAATGAGGAAAATCTGCTGCAAATAAAAAAAACTACAGGTTCTTAAAGATGACCTTGTCGAGGTTGACTTGCGCCTTTTTCTTGTACTTTAGAACGGTCTAAGTTTGCCGCCGGCGCACATTTTGTGGTAGGCTCTTTTGATTTTAAAATCGGGTATCAAGTGCTACAAGTAGACAAAAAATGAAAAAATCTGGGAGGTTAGGATGCAAACCTGTGTGATTTGGCATGGAATGATTTATATATATGATTTTTAAGTCAAAACTAGGGTTTTTAAAAACTTATGCAGAAAAAATTCATGTTCACTATATTGTACTGTTTATGTGTTTTTTGCTGTGTCTCTTTCTATTTTTTCTTCATTTACTGTCTTTATATTTCTTATAAATCACTATATATAGCCCGCACGCTAGTACATATATATATATTTTTAGCTACTCAAGTTTTTTTTTTT